TTCGTTTTGGAAATGCTAGCCAAGTCTGTCCTAAAATTGAAATTGTTTGCTGAGGATAAATACCATTCATTTTTTTTTTCTTTTTTTTAAAGTGTCTTATCTTCCAGAAATAGAGCAGTTCTTTTGCCAGTTACACATTTTTAAAAATCATGTCTAATTTGAATAAATTAGCCTATTTTGTCGACCAACATTAGTTCTAGAAAAGGAATGATAACTAGGAAAGCCATGTAAATGGTGTATTTTATAAGAAGAGAGAGAAAAACTTGGTCATTCACAGGGCAGCTCAGTTAATGCGATGTGCTTCGACGTAAATTTGAGGTTTGCTTTAATTTCAAAACGTATCTTTTTTTTTTTTTTTAACTTAATAAGGGAGACAAAAGAAACTTTCAACCAGCATCTCCAGTTTGTTATCCTGGAATGTTTTGGCTTCTCAAATGTGAGAACATGATTGTTTTTATTTCCAGGAGGAGGTAATAACACTGAAGCAATAAAAAAGAGTCAAGGCAGCTCGCACAGCACAGGAAGTTCACAGCCAGAGACTTAATTTCTCACACAATGTACTGTGCAATGGGCCCATTAACATAGATGAATAGGCTCTTTAAAGGTTTTTTTCCCCTTCTTCTTCTTCTTCCAGATATGCAGCTGCCGCTGAATGGTGATATGTTAATAAGGTACTCACTTGCCTATTCTTCAGGTACTCTGGCATTCTCTACCTAGGTAATCTCCATCTAGGAAAAGCTATTAGGGGGCTGTATCTGCTACCACACCTTCAATTATATTAACACCTGCACAGATAATCCACGTAAGGTAAACTAGTAGGGGGCCTATGGCCTTAGTCCACCTCTTTTCTCCCAGCCATGTTACATCTAAGGGGAGGGGGAGGAAGAAGCAGAAGCAGAAAAGGAAAGTCACTTTTATTACACATCAGTGGGAACCTTCTGAAAAAGCTTTCATGCCTAGGAAATTGTTATTTCTTCAAACAGCTGACAGCCTGCAGAGGAAACTCTTAATGGAAACCCAGTTCCTGCATTGTTATGCATGGCCCTCATGTAGATTCAGGGGGGTGGATTAAGTTAGCTTCCAAAGGGTCTATTGTGTGTAGCATTAATTTGCTGGGCTCTTGATATCTGAGTTGGAAAGTTTATAACCTCAGTGTTTACTTAGATGAACTGCATCCTACTTTGTTTATTTCCGTCTGCAGTCTCTTATTTCCTAGTAAATGTTACATTTATATTTGTTAACAGCAAGAATGTTGTTATAAATCGGAAAGAAATAATTACACGTGCTTACTGCATTCATTCCTGTTAAAGCTGGAGTCCTGGTTCTCCCCAGTCACCCTTCACTGTTACTTCTATAGAAGATTATACAGAGAAATACATTTCTCAGTAATAGTTACGCCTCTCAGTTAAACAGCAGTGTGAAGACAACATAGTTTGAATGAATGGTTCATTACAGCCTATCCCAAAGTGGCAACTTTGTGTGAAATTAATATAAAGGCCTCTAGTTTCTTTCACATAGCAATGTTATAAATACATGGGCTCCACAATTTAGGCCTTTAATTTTCAAGATGAGCAAATCTACTATGGAATAGAATTCACTTTTACTCTCTTTTTGTAAGTAAATAGTTACTTGTTACTCTCTTTTTGTAACTGAATAGTTACTTGTAAAGACTTAGTTGCAATTTTCCAATTGTGATTTTAAAAAAAAGTTTCCAAGCCAGTATTTGCAAACAACACTGCAGTGGTGTTTTAGATAGTGGAACCTTTGGAGATTCTCATCTTGCACAATTAAATTGTGCACTTTCATTGGGGAAACTTTTCAGCACCACCCCTAACCCTACTCCCTCCTTTCCTACATAGATTGTATAGGCAGGTTCTAACACAAATTGAAAATTCAATATGAATGGCAAGGTGGTGGGGGTTGCTTATTGGAACCAACTCTGGTCTTAATCTGGATTTAGACTCTCAATTGAATAGAAGGACATTATGCTTGAACAACTGAAGTTTCTATTATTTTGAAATCTTTTTATGGGAAACAACACCAACAGCGTGTTGAATATTTTATTGCAATAGTGATAAGGATGACGGCCATGACATCTGTCTTTTATATTAGACTTTCTAAATGCCCGATGGTATCCTGAATGCTTTGTATTTATTAACTGATTAAGTTTTTCCCAATGACCTTTGAGTTGGGCATTATGGTCTCCATTTTACAGACAAGTAATGAATTTAGAAGAAGGAGGTAATTTTCCCGTCACAAAGGTAGCCAGCAATAGGCCTGGAATTTGAAGTCACATTTTCCTGACGCCTCAGTCTCTTCTCTAAATCACTGAATTACTGTTGTCTTGTGGCCACAGCTCTCTAACTGCTTAGGTCACTGGCTACTAACAGGTCCTTAGAATACAGCTGAGTACAAGCATTAATTGCAGCTTAATAGTGATAACGTTCAAGACTACAAGCCATCAAACAGAATTTGTTAAGCTCTTGCCCAAAGTCTAGAGATATAACATTTTTTTTATGGAAATAACTGCAGCAATTTTAGAGACTTCCAAAAGAATGTCAAATGTAAGTAAGTGCTTTTTTTTAAATTTTTTTTATTTAAGGCTTTTGCCATAAGGTGTGTGTACTTATAAGAGAAAGACAGAGAGACAAAGAGAGTGAGACTGAGAAATCATCCTCCAGGAGGGATGACCATCCTCCTCTCTGGATTTTGGGCATGCATGCACACATGTGCCCCATGAGATTTTCAAGCCACCAGGTCCAGGACTAAAACTATGGCGGGCCACGTCCAAATCCAGCACCTTAACCACCATGCCACCTGCTGGCCACAAGGGAGTGCTTCTTAGAAGTAAATGTCTGCGTGTGAGCGTGCATGCAATATCATTGCAAGGATGAGATGAAGTAGGGAGTAGTGATTACATGGTGGGCTTGTAGAACTTGCAGTATGGCCCATTTAGAGAATGACACCTGCATATCGTCATCATAGCAAGATGTATGAGAGTACGAGCAACATAAAGGAAGACGTCATTTTCTTATTCTCCCCAAAGGCAAATATGATATAGGGGAGGAAGATTGAGGAAAAGCAGCTGCAAGCAGATAAGGATTAGATGTCTGATCCTCTTCTTTGACAACTGTAAAAACATATTTGATCACTGATGTCATTACTGGAAAGGCCCAGATAGTGCTGTGGGGTTTGCAAACGGACAACACAGCGTCTTCATGCTTCTCGAGTTGCCATTTCTTATTTATTGTCTCAGTAAGAAATTGCTATTATATTCTGTTTACTTTTACAGCTGTTTTGCTAGTAGATTGGTATGTACGCAAAGAAAAATTGGACCTCCTTCTGATCAGAGATGTTGAAGATAGTAACGTGAGTTAAAGGATTTCTTTTCCATGACCAAACTTATATAAGTAAATGTTATTAAAAGGTAGATACAAGAAGTGATTTCTATATAATCAAGTACTAGTGTATACCACTAATAAGAATTTATGAAGTTTAACAAGTAGGCATATTTCTTCCCATCTATGACAAAACTTTAAAATCTGCTATTCATGTTTTGCCTCACTGTAATTTAGTTGAAAGAGGAAGTGATTTGTTGATCAGAAAGCTCTGAGAAGAAATCCTTACTATTCCTATTACCTTGGCCTCAAGGGAGTACCCTAATCTCCGGGTCTCCCCCCTCCCCCATTCTAGTAAGGAGGAGAGTGGCGACCATTCAAGCTTGTAGCAAGAGTTCAATAGAATACGCACAAAGCACTGGACACACTGTGTGTTCTAACTCTTGAATGAATAGTGGTCACATTTTAGTCATGCCTAGATATCTGGGAAATCAAGATGTCGGGGAAGGATGAATAAAGATGGCTGTTAAGTAATGGCAAAGACAAGGCAATCGATGGCTGTATGATTTTTAAAAATGGCTAGAACTGGGAAAGGTGAAAAAAAAAAGTCAAAAAGCTAACATAGTGAAAAAGGAGAACACTCCACATAAAGTACAATTGTGACTTTTGGTATTGGATTTTTAACAAATAAATAAAAAGTCCTAGCAAAACATAAAGGGGAGGGCCTGGGGAAAGCAATACTACAACACTTTGGAGGAAATGAAACAAAAACAAGAAAATCAGATTAAATATGGAACTTTTGTCAAAGAGCAGCCGAACTATGCAAAGAGAACAATATGATAAAACAAAAACCCTGGGAAGTCCCTGAGAAGAAGACAAAAAGCAAACAAAGAAACATGGGAAAGACAGGGAAAAAAGCAAACACAAACAGAGAAGAAAGGGCTGAAGCATGCATTTGTTCAAGCCAGGAGAACACACAGAACTCTGCTTTTCATTCTTACAGCAAGAAAAGATACCTCAATTGAGGAAAAGAGCATGCACCCACAACAGTAGGAAATGATCATTTTTTTTAAAGTCCCAAGTTTAAAACAATGCTGTGTGTGAGCCTGATCTACCTACGTTTCAAATGCAAACAACCTGGGGTTGGAAACATGGATAAACCAGTTGATTTCATTATAAATGTACCCGCTTGGATGCTATGGTAGAAATAAGGAACTTGATTGTGTACTCATTCACCCAATCAGAGAAGACAGAGTTCTTTTTTCAAATACAATGACACCAGCAGATACAGTAGAGAGCTTATCTGATAAACACATTCAGAAGCATTATCTTGCTGACCACCACAACAAAAAATACTTGCAGCCACACACCAAGCTACCTCAAAACTCTTTGGGGCTCCATTCTTTTCCTTTTAGAGAAAAGTAACACGTGGATGCCTACTTCAAATTTTAAGGCCAATAGACTTGTCCCTATTCGCTTGTCCTTTCAGTGAAGCATCTGTGACTCACTGTCATGGTGGTGTTATTATTAATTATTTTCCTATTGCTCCATCTCAAAAAAACATCATCCCACCACCACTTTTAGTTGTTAAATCTCCCTGCGCTGACTGTATTTCTTTGCACTGCAGAAACCATCTCATTAACAAACTAGATCTGTGCGTCCTTAACACTGAGGCCCCTCGCCTGCAGCTGGAGGCAGCTCTGTGCTCAGCCCGCAGTGCAGCGCGACACAGGCAGGCGACATCGTCACTGAGTACTAACTTCTGTTACACCGAGGCAGACATGGAAAACCATTTCAGAACTGCGGCAATGGCAGGAGAGAAGCAAAGGTAATCCTTGAGACTCTATATGCAGTTTTTGCAAGAATCAGATAGATCCATGTGGATGAGACAGCTGGGCAAACGGGGGTGAAGGGACCTGTTTCTGTGTTAAAGCTGATAAGCCAGGAAATAAATTCACCAATCAGCCGGGAAAAAAAAAGTGCAAACACAGAAAGAAAAGGGCCTCTGAAATGACATGCATGTAGAGTATATAGATAGTACATATTTAAGCCTCATGCAAATCGAACAAAATGATTTTAGAAAGAAATATGAACAGACGTGTGTGGTGCCAGTTTTGTTACGTGGGGAGTAAGCTGCCGGCTAATATCTAGAAGTGGGAGGAGTTTTTGTCTTATTGGAATCTCCCAAGTTGTAAAGGACTTTAGAGACCATCTAGCCTGTCATGAATGATCACGCCTAATACTTTTCTGTTTTTAAAGGGGTGGCTGTGAAGTTATGGATAAGACCTCTGCAGGCAACTAGAAGCACAGTGTACCCAGGTGGTGGGTCTCGTCTGTGGCAATATATTTTTCTGTCTGTCCAATTGAATATGGCTGTAAAGGGAATAAAGCCCCATGTAATCTCCAGCAGTGACAATTTAATCAGTTGTGTGAGGGGAAAAGAAGCAAGAGTCCCCTCATTTTCATATTTGCATATTTGATTTTTTTTTACATTGGGGAATAGAGGTTATGTAATTTTTTTTTCCTATTGCTTGTCATTCCATTTTCATATACATAATCTTTTTATGAGCCAATTTTTCATCTGGTAAGGAATAGCAAGTCAAATCGATCTGAAAGAGAAAAGAAAGGTCCATTCCGGAAATTAAGCACTTGGTGCGGTATGCTTTGTGTTACATTTTTCCCTGCAGAGAATGTATGAGCCCAACATGGCTTGCATGCTGCCAGCTTCTGCACGTGATGCATCCGCTATTAACATTCAGAGAGCCTTCCTGAATATGAAGGCAACTGTTTGGCGAACAATGCAAAATGATGAACTATGACTCTCCCCTATTTTTTATGAACCTTTCTTAAAATGATATATCTTATTAACAGCATCTATTTCTTAAAAAAGGAGATCTTTTAAAATGCTTTACATATACAGAGACCAGTATTTATGAGGTTATTGAGGAGTAATAAATATGGTTAAGTTAATAAAAGTCCATGGTGTTTACATTGCCTGTAACATAGTAACCGGTTTTGGAATAATTTTATGATAAATAAGATGCAAATACTTTGAATTCATCAATTACCCTGGTGCTCCTCCCATGAGCATATTAAAAATCAAGTCAAATGGTGTTGGATTTGAATTACTGGGACATGGATAACTGTTTTTTATAAATGTATCAATATATGTTATCTTCCTCTTGTGAAAGCCCCCAAAGGATGTTGGATGAATAAAAAAATTTTAAAATTTAAAAATAAAATAAGGATAATACTTACTTGATTAATGGTTTATAATTTCTTTGTGAAAAGTGAACTTCGAAGTCAACCTGTCAGTAGAGGAGACGAGAATGATTTATTCTTTTTTCTTTAGAATAATGATTTTAATTCTGTATAATTTTACCAAAATTTTTTAAAAAGATTAAATAAAAGTTGCAAAGCATTTTTGTCCATTAAGTTTAATCTATGTATATATTCACATCGATGTGGACATGTGTGTATGTTTGTATGCCTATTATATAAAAATGTGACCTAGATGTTGCTAATGCAATCCTACGAGAAATAACTAAATCTGGAATTGTGAAAAGATAAGCCATAACACCTTATTCAAAACCAGAGCAGACTGTCTTTTTCATTTATGTCCTAGAAAAGTTTATTAGTAACAGGACACAGGCATTATTAGGTCAGCATAAAGTCCTTTGGGGTAAGTACAGATTTACATTAAATTCAAGTATATAATATGTCGAGTTTTGAATATGTTCTTATTTATTTAAATCTGCATTCTGATGATCCCCCTTTCATAGAGGATGCGCATATATATATATATATATATATATATATATGAATATTTAATCTATGTATATATTCACATCGATGTGGACATGTGTGTATGTTTGTATGCCTATTATATAAAAATGTGACCTAGATGTTGCTAATGCAATCCTACGAGAAATAACTAAATCTGGAATTGTGAAAAGATAAGCCATAACACCTTATTCAAAACCAGAGCAGACTGTCTTTTTCATTTATGTCCTAGAAAAGTTTATTAGTAACAGGACACAGGCATTATTAGGTCAGCATAAAGTCCTTTGGGGTAAGTACAGATTTACATTAAATTCAAGTATATAATATGTCGAGTTTTGAATATGTTCTTATTTATTTAAATCTGCATTCTGATGATCCCCCTTTCAAAGAGGATGCATATATATATATATATATGAATATGTGATCCATTGATTATATATTCAAATGAACCCAGTTTTTTTAATATGGTCTAATGATTGAATGATCCCCAAACACTGCAACTCCTCAGGGACATGCAGGGATGCCTCAGCATGTTTTCTCAAGGCCTAGAGAGTGCTCGATATGCCAAGGAGTGCCTGGAAGCATGGCAGCTTTGCTTTACCTAAACACAAGTCCTGGGCTTTAATCACAATGGCTAGGTTCACACTAAAGCAATTAACCATATGATCGCTTTCACAGGGGTCCACCCTCGTCAGTGTCTTTCCTTCAGGCAAACTGACAATGCTGAATCCAGTCAATGACGCAAGTGGATCTGATTATCTGCAAGGTACAGGTCTCTGAATATACACAGTCATAAAGGCAGACTAAGAATATTTGTCCCCATTCTAACTTCGCAGAAGTTGTCATTTCACAACCAATACTTTAAATTGCAATGAGTATGGTCAAAGAATTGTCTGATTAAACAATTAAGAGTTGGCTAGTGTCAGAACGAAGGTGGAAACCAAATCCACGTGATAAGGAAGCTGTTTTATAGTTGGTATCTGTCTGTCTGTATTCATTTATTTTTGTTAGTTTTATTCTTTTTTGGTGGGGGGGTGGATTATGATAGTTGTCAAACTTGAAGATTTACGAGGAAATTTGAAAGATGTAAACATGACTTAGGACTATAGTTTGTAATCGAGTAGGTTCATGTATGTGTATACACATGTGTACTTTTTAAATCTTATTTAACCTTGTTCCTTTATTAATCAGTGCTATGCTTGATGTTGCATCAAATGTGAACTTGAAGCGTTCTGGCATACTTTTCTTGGTATCTTAATGGCAACTTTCTGCTGGCATGTTAATAGGACTTTTTGATTAATATCCATTAAAAGAATCTCTCCAAAAATAAGTTAGTAAAGAACTTTCCATGTTTTCCAGCCAAATATGAATACACACATCTGAGCAATATTCGTTTTTCCAATAGAATTGCCATTCTCAATACATTTTCATATCATTCTAAATATTCCTTAAATGCAATTAAAATACAGTAAATAGCCAGTGGTGTATCCCTCCCAAAGTGCTAAGAAATTCCTGCTTCCAGTATATATTGTCCAGATACCAGATTTGTCAAAATCATAAAATTGGCTCTCAAACAGATTTCCATGCATTGGAATCCAACAGTTAAGTTTCTCATCCTCAGGAAAAGACATTACACTTCTAATATTTTCATCTTGGTGATGTTCAGAGCTTCTTAAAGAAAAGCACTAAGACAATGAAAATGGAGACTTTCTTTTTAGAGGTGTTAGGAGGATTTGTTTTGATGCCAAGAAGACTTTTAATAAAGTTGGCAGAAACTTTTCACTGTATCTTATTTTTAAGCACTAACATCTAAGGCGTTCTTATGTTCTGATATTTCGATGAATGACAAAACAGTTTATCCCATGACTTGGCAAATTGCATCCCAACCAGAGTGTGCAGTTGTTCTGAGTCCTCACGTTCAAAGCAGACGGTTGAAAGCATCTAGACCTGTTGACAGTGTCTGGAGGCAAAGGAAGTGAGATGTGAGGGGGCATGCTAAGGGGACGGAATTCTCTCACCATCCCTGAGGGCGAACCTCATGCCAATCAAAACATATTGGTCCTTCCTTGTATTCTATAGCATCCACCCATCTGTTTCTTTTCTTTCTTTTTTCAGTTCTTAAGGAAAATTAGACGTATGTAAATAAGTAAAGCCAAACGTTATGCGAAAAATGCCCATCCTATAGAGTGTAATTGCAGTGTGTTCCAGGGCTGATTGAAAGGTCCACGTGCCTCTGCCATGCTCTTGGCTGCTGCTGGTTGCAGTAGAAGAAGCTGTCTCTCCTCCCCACAGCCCAGAGCTGCAGCTCACTCTCCTCCTCCAGTCTATTCTTGGCTGTGGATTCCCCTGTGCTCCTTGTGCACTTTAAGTTTAATTTTGCATTTAAAAACTCAATTGGCTCATCTGTTAAGCATTAAGCAGCTCCCTTTTGAGCCACAGGGGGAGCCCTGGGAAAACCCACAGCTGCTGGAACATGGAAAATGGGTTTAAAAAAACAAAACCATTCTGAAACTTTAAAGCATTTTAGCAGCCGTGGATTTCCCAATCCTTACCCCCCAAATGGTTCATCTGTTTAACTTTTATCTGGTATTGGAAAACACAAACCAGCGCATTAAATAGCCCTCCAATGACTTTTTGTTTAATACAAAATGAAAGTAAAAGCTAAGCAAGCCATGAGGGAGGATCTTTGAGAGAGCTCTGGCCTGGAATACCTGTAAGCATATTCTCTCTGGTTACAGAAACCATTCTGAAATCCAGTCATACCTGCTGAAACCATAACTTATCCCTTACTCTTTTGGACACTCCTGCCCCCTCCAAAAGGGGAAGGAAACAAGTAAAAAATGAGTCCAAATCCCAATGTAAAAAAAAAATGACAATAAACATGATGTAAAAATTAATAGGTTGGGGATTATTCGTGAAATGCTCAATGAAGATTTTCAATTACATAAAATTTGTCATTAAGTAAAAACCCATGTTTGATTACCATTTGATAAGCTCTCGATAAATGAAAATTATTCTTTTTTCCCATGTTCCCCTAATATTCTACTAACTAGTCTGAATCTTTCTGTGGGAGAGTCCCAAGTCCCACTGTTAGATACCAATGTCTTCGAATCATGGAATGACTCAAAGATACTCCTAATAAAATAAATCCCACGAAAGGGTGACAACTGTAAGCATTTTTTTCTTTCTTTTTTTTTTTTTTTACTATTAGCAATTAACACACACAAAAATCCCATTTGACAAGACAAACAAATGAAAAACAAAAACAAAACAACTGTAACTGGGTAAATATAGAGGATGAAAAAGAGATGTTTGAATTTTGTGACACTGCCCAAGGAAATGTCTTAGTGTGGGTAGAGTCTATAATGAGAAGCTCAGTGTGATCAGGGAATAGAGGCATGCACCAAAACATGGACGTGAAAAACAAACAGACAAAAAAACCCAAAGGCCTACCAGGTATTGAGTCCCTACTAAGATCTAGTCTGGTGAAAGATAGGAAAGGGAAATCCATCTACTAGAAGAGGAACAGTGAACAGGAAGATGAAGGACACAAAAGTTCTTCACTCTTCTTTGCATGGTTCTAACCCTGATGAGACTCACTGAATTTTCATATAGAATTCATAGTCTTTTTTTTTTTTTCTTTGTAGTTTGCTATAGGGCACATGTGCTCCCTGGACAGAGAGAGAAGAGAGAGAAAAAGTATGAAATCAACCCCCAATACAGATGTCTTCTCCATTTTCCTTTCAGGATTTTGGACACACATGCACATGCACCCAGTGTGATGTTCAGGTCATGAGATCCAGGACTTAAACTATTCAGTTGGTCATGTGGGATCTAGATGCCTTAAGGTCTGTGCCACCTGCTGGCACCAGGATTCATACTTTTATTTTTTTATTTTCTTTTTCTTTTTTCTTTTTTTGAGAGGTTTTTGCTGAAGGGCGTGTGCGCTTGCCAGACAGAGAGAGACAGAGAGACAAAAAGCAAGAAATCACCCCCCGGGGGGATGGTCACACCGCAATCCCTTCTCTTCCATTCTCCTCTCGGGATCTTGGGCATGCACGCACACGTGCACGAAGTGAGTTTTAAGCCACCTGGTTCAGGACGCAAACCGCGGTCAACTACATGGGAGTCCAGCGACATAGCCATTACACTAATTGCTGGTCCCAATACTTTTAAACCCATAGAGACTGTAATAGTCCAAATCAGATGAACAAGTGAAATTCATATTATGATTGATCTCGTATCATTCATTCTATTGATCAATATCAAATTCATAAATAAAATTAGTAATTCCTGATTCCAATTGAATTTTTACCTTGAGATATATATATATATATATTATTTATTTACTTTTTGTAGAGTTTTTTGCCTTAAGGCATGTGCACTCACCAGAGAGAGAGAGAGAGAGACAGGAACAGAGATGGTGAGAGGGAAAGTGAGAAATCATCACCCTGGGGGGATGGCCATGCCTCAATCCTTTCTCCCCCATTCTCCTCCCAGGATCTTGGGTATGCACACACAAGGGCCTGGTGTGAGTTTCAACCCACCAGGTCTGGGACTCAAACCATGATTGGCTATGTGGGAGTCCAGAGACATAAACTACTACACTATCTACTGGCCCCTTATTTTATTTTTCCAAGAGAGATATTTGCTATAGGGTGAATGTACTCATCAGAGAGACAGATAGACAGAAAGCAAGAAATCACCCCCAGTGGGATGGCCATGCTCTAATCCCTTCTCCTCCATTCCCCCTCCCAGGATCTTGGGCACACATGCCCAGCATGAGTTTCAAGCCTCTGGGTCTGGGACTCAAACCATGGTCAGCCACGTTAGAGTCCAGTGGCATAACCATTATGCCTTCCGCTAGTCCCATACTATGACTTCTAAATAAATATTGTGTTTTCAAAGTTCTTAACTTCAATTTTATGTCATTTTATTTGCTTCTCCTTCTCTCATTTCTGTCTGTCTCCAGTATATCCTTAAATTTTAAAACATACATTGATATACATTATAGTAGCGATGAATGTATTCTATAAATAACGTAAATTTTATGGTTCTATCCAATAAAATTCTACAATAAATAATTTTTTGGAGGTTTTTATTTTTTTTATTTTTTATTTATTTTTTCTACAGGGCGCATGCATTTGCCGCAAAGACAGAGAGACAGAAAGACAGAAAGCGAGAAATCACCCCCGGGGGGATGGGCACGGCAAAATCCCTTCTCCTCCATTCTCCTCTGGGGATCTTGGGCACGCACGCAGATGTACCCGGCATGAGTTTAAGTCACTAGGTTCAGGACTTGAAGCGCAGATGACTGCATGGGAGTCCAGTGACATAACCATTATGCCAACCGCTGGTCCCTATAAGAAGTCATTTTAAAAGAGAAAATATTAAGAAAATTAAATTATGGTGGATGAGCAGTTAAATAATATATTCTCAAACCAATATAGACACTGACAAATTTTAAAATTATGAAGAAAGACTTTATGTAGCACCTTTATTTATTTATTTATTTATTTATTTATTTATTTAGATTTTCCACAGGGTGTGTTGCTTGCAGCAGCGAGACAGAAATAAAGGGAGAGTAAGGGAGCACCCCCATGGGAAATGGTCACACAGCAATCCCTTCTCCTCTATTTCTCTTTCCTTTCAGGTTTTTGGGCTTCCATGCACACATGCTCAGTGTGATTTTCAAGCCACCAGGACTCAAACTGCACAGCTGACCATGTGGGATCCAGATGCCTTATTCACTCACTGTGCCACCAG